ACTGAATTATGTGAGCGCGATAATATGTGGTACGTGATATATATATATATATATATATATATGTATATACATATATATGTATGTGTTTGCAATGAAACAGGACACTGTATCCATGTAAAATGTTTTTATTGTTAACTAAATAAATAACAAGATGTACACTATGACAGATCGGTGGTCTCCAGTAACGCTTGAAAACGAGTTAGAATTAGGTGGAAAATATTGTATAAAAATAATAAGATATCTTAATCTATTTAAGGAGGACAATGTCTTAAAAATTCAGAATCCATATAAACAACAGTTACTGTGATATCATCACGAAATATCCGTACTACTGGACTAGACAATGTCAATAAGCGTGATAATTTTCCGTGATCTATACCATAGTCTGTTCCACCAAGTGCATGTCTTAGTAGGTGTGTTGCTGCATTGCTATCGAGAGGTTTCTTTTTTAATCCTTCTTTACGTTGCAATAACATTTTATTTATATCAGACAGCTTCATGTTTTTGCAGGGTAACCGTAGTGAACTCAATGTTACTTTCCCGCTCATATGTTCGCCGACTAAGCGCACACCTTCCAAAGGTGATATTAAATCCCAAAGACCATCACTTGCTATTATAAGAAACTTATCTCTGGGTGTTAGTCTATGATATTTAACTTCTGGTTTGACCGTCAAGTACGGTGGAGTATGATAATTTGGTGGTATCATGGCTTCGCCTATATGTGACACTACTTTCTGTAAAATTTGTTTATTCCATTTGTATTGGAAATCACCTAGAGAACGAAGAGGCGCTAATTGACCAAGAAGTCGTTCCATTTTAATTATAGTCGACTTTTCGTTCGGTGGATGTTCAGATAAAATTCTTTCAACTTCTGCGCGATTATCGGTATTGTGTTCTACATTCATTAACTTTGCAGACCAGCCGTCGTCTTCTACGGTTTAATCACACAATAAACATTTAATTTTCTTTAGTAGAAGTGTTAACTTTGATTAAAAGCAACTCATACCGGAAAGTGTCCCAAGTACTGCTCGGCAGTCACCTACTCCAGCAACGTGCAAATGAGGACCATCTATGTGTGCAACAACAGCTACAGCACCACTCATTGCGATCTCAAAAAATTCTTCCGAATCTTTTTTACCTAAGTTTAACAACGCCTCATACGATAAATCGTTATCTAATCTCATAAATGCATTTTCCAAAGCTGTTTCCATTTGAAATTCTGATGTACATTCCGTTTCTATGAGATCTTTCACAAAATTTAAGAAACTTTTTTGATACAGATCTTTATTTCTAGAACTAAACTCAGCTTTATCATTAAATGTTTGTAAAAGTTCTAACTTATTATTCGAATTGACTGTGTTTAAGTATTGTTTAAGTAATTTTCTAGGTAACAAACAAGCAGATATATAATGAAAAAGTCTTTGGGATGTCACTTGTGCACATGCACTACCTCCATGACCATCGAACACACCCAACAAAATTCCTAGAATATATATATATATATACATATATGTAGTTGTGACATATACATTAGATAAAAAATGTCTATTGGAATATTTAATACAGTTTTTATACCTTTAGTGAGTAAACATTGTGCTTCTGATCGGGCATCTTCCATAGGATTATTAGATGCTAATTGATTAGAGTCATAATATTTTATAGAACTTTGCCCATTAAATTCCTTGGTATACTCATTTGTTTGTAGAACAGTAGTGACCTATAAGAAATTACAAATACATCTATCTAGATTGTAAATATTGTGAAATTATTAATATTTTAGTACCTCTTGTGGTGTAAGATGTGGCAATGCCATGTATAATCTTCGAGCACATTTATTGCCATTTCTCTCTTTCTGTCTAATACATGCATTAGTAACAGTTCTAATTAAATTGTTACTAAAGTTGTGCAAAACCATTCTTATCTGCGTTTTTGCA